TGATCCTAAAATATCCATTTATCCATAAGATAGAGTATAATATTTTATAAATCAGTATTATCTAACTCTGATACATCTCATAAGTAATAAATAACTAACATAATCTTGTTAACGATGGGGAAAAGTGAAGAGTAAAGGGAGAATTGAGAAAAAATGAATTAGGTTTTGGTATGAGTGGCCACTCAATTACATTTCTATTGTTTTTGTTACCCTCATTGTCATTTACATGTTACAATTTGATTCATGTATTTTCTATATGTGAAGATATGGTCTTGGTGGCACATGTATGGGGCATGGAGGCTAAAACCATACTCTCACCATACCTATCAAACTTTTTGCGAGTTTTACTGATCCCCGCCCATATCTAGTCAATGCGGAGATTCTCAACATTGGCTAAATCCAAGACAGGCAGGTACCTGGGATCATGGGTTTGATTGCCATCCCTAACCATAAGTTACATTTATTAATATTAAACACAAAAAATCAAACTCAAAACCTCATAATTAAACCCTAAATCCTTAATAAATTCTAAAGCCAATACAGACTCCACTTCAAAGAACATTTTTAGCTTAAAGTAACAAGAACAAATTTCGAAATTAAATTGATATTTTTTCTTTAATTAGTTTCCCATTAAGCTCACTTGATCAAGTTGCACAAAAAATCATATATACATCTTGCATTTAAAGACTATCTATGACTAGAAAGTTAAATTCAAGCCTCCTATTACATTAGTCTACTGAATAACATCCTTAAACTAAACATTTCCGCTAGCTAACAACCAAATTTCTTCTCGCAATTACAAGAAAATCACTTCCCACGGCTTGGCTTGTTGACTCGTTCCGAATATCACAATAAATTCCTATCTAAGGTCCAAGTATAAACCTTAGATGGGTGCAATATAGGGCAAGTATGTTTAAATATCAACCCAGGCCGATCCGTGTACCCCTACTTCCATTGTTTGAAGCAGAATTTAGCGAATTGGTTTTTGGTTGAAAACTATGAGATTTAAATCAAAGCAAAGGTAAATGGTTGGAAAGCTCTAGATGAGAAGGATCACTCGGGTGTCGCTTCCCCCTAACTGATACCGTGGCATGTGGACTCGAATGGGACGTTATGGGCAAGACAATCATTAACTGCTAGGAGGCGCAAGTATGGTCGAGAACCACACTCTCAATTGCCAAACCAAGGGATATATTATAAGCTACAAAGGTAACCCTCTTGGTTAAGGCAATTAAGGGTTTACTTACCTTCTCCCTCAAACGGATGGTTGGATTGCTTATTCATGATTAACCTAATTGTTTAATTCAAGATAGAGGTTTGCCCTACATTAACCTAGGTAGGTGGCTTGTCAAGCCCAAGGAATCCCAACTCAATTGAGCCTCTTTTGGAAAGGGGGGTTTCCCCTCTAACCTAGGTTAGAATGGTCAATTAGATTGCTAAGCACACACATTCACAATCATCATGAAAAATACCTCAATCATTAAATTAAACAACACTCATAAACAATCATTCAAGTCACACTACAACTACATAGCAAATAGTTAGGGTTTCACAACACCCAAGTGAAAAAGAGTACTACTCCATGCTAAAAAAGGGAAGAACACAAGAGGAAGAGGTAGCAACCATCATGGTGATGCCTCCAATCTCCTCTAAACTTGTGTTGATCTTCTCTTGGGGAGATTCTTCCCAATTCACCACTTGGAGCAAACCCTAGCCTTCCTTCTTCTTATTTCGTCCTTTCTCTCTCTAAAATCTGAATAAGAAGAAGACACTTTCTCCCTCTTGGGCTCTCCCTTCTCTCTTCATTTCAACTCACATTTTATACCAAGATCGGGCTTAGTTCACAGGATAAGTTCACGGCCGTGAACTCTTCAACGCGTCCGTGAACACAAAGCGTTGTGTCGAAATGCACCGCTTCACCATCAGGAGTTCACGGTTTGCCCTCAATTTTCACGGTCTTGTTGACCGTCAACTCGCCTTGCGCTAGTAATTGCATATTTCTCCCGAGATGCCTCGCGGTTCATGATTTTGGCATTCAGTTCAAGGCCATAGGAGACCGTGAACTCCAATGATAACCCATGAACCTCGCTTGAATCACCCTCTTTGCCCGGTCTTTGCCTCTTTTCGTCCAACTTTCGACTCCGGGTCTGGTTTCACCTGTTGGATCCTAAAACACACTAGAACGCACAAAATCTAGCGTAAAACCACCCTTTTAGGAGTTCCAATGTTACAAACGCCCATGGAAAACGGGGATAAATGTGTGCAATTAGGCCGAATCACTCCCCGCACTTAGATGTTTGCTTGCCCCCAAGCAAACCATTTCACACAAGGTAAAAACTCAAACTATCAAAATGCTTTGGGGACAATTCAAAGGGCACAAAGTGGCTAATCTCAAATGGCTTTTGGAAATTAACACGAGGACCGTTGCAAGCAATATCGACATCCACCACAAACGACATTTGAGGCTACTAGAAACGGGCAAATGAAAAGTTCTGACTTAGGTAACCAGTTCGTGGAGCGGGAGCAGGAGCGGGAGCGAGAGCGTGAAAGCGTCTAATTTAGAAGAATTCAAATTCGAGAGCGTGAAGAGAGCGCCATTACTATACACTCCGTATTTTTTACAATAGTATATAAAATGTCACAATAGTTACAATTGATATGTGGAAATATTTAATCAAAATTTATAACAATGAATATTTTTCATTACATTTTTTATGCATTCAAGTGTAAATTATACAGACGTTTTATTTTTTTATCAACCTCTTTTGTGATTTTAAAATAGATACACCAAAAGATATCCCATCAATATTTAATGATTTATGAGGTTTTTTTGTGGTTGTTATTTACCTATTTACTATGCAAAGTTACTCCCTATTTATCTAATTATCTTCCCACCTTTCGTTTAAAAAGGAAGTAGCTATCACAGCCACAAGTTTGGCAACGAGCCAAGCCGGCTATATTGTCGGATCCCTCCAATTTCATGCGGCTTCTGACCTTCTTCGACCACCGCTACTATTCACCCTCGGTATTTGGTTACCACTCCATCTCGGCGCTTACATGCAGTTTCTTCATCTTCCAATTTGTATCTCCGTTGACTGGCCAGAAACTTCTCCGATCAAGTGTCTTTGGTCATATTGTCAGATCCCTCTAAAATCTAGCGTCTTCTCTCTTCTGGTATACTGCGGCCACCATTACGACTCACCCTTGATATTAGGTTACCGCCAAATCTTTAATCTTACATGAAATTTCATCAGTTTCCTGTTCGGATCTCCGTGGCCAGCCAACTCCTTCTCCGATCGGTAGGGGCATAAAATTGGACTCGTGAATTTGCGATGACCATTCATTCTCACTTCTGGGATGGGCTTTACTCCACGTGATGCATATTTAAAAGATTAGTATTACTAGGTATTATCTTAAATATTCATCTTTGTTACCAATCATGAGTGTCAAAAGTGAATTGAAACTTGTCAATTCAATTATACATAGTTCATCTTACATTGCGGTCAAATATGTGGTGCGATTTGGACCGCACCAAATTACCTGTAAAAGCGGTTTGGTTTGACTGCACCGAATAAATTACGGTCTACTATGCGGTACGGTCCAAATAACATGTGGTGCGGTGCGGTTCGAGCCGCACCAATGTCCACCCCTAAAAGGAACTCCTGATGTTGGCCTACGGTATCCTCGTCATGATAATTTTACGTTAATGGGTTATAGTGACTCTGACTTCGAGGGTAGTCTAATAGATAGAAAGAGACACAACTGAAACCTATCAGTTTGTTGGAACCTCCTTAGTGTCTTGGTCATGCACAAAGCAAGACGATGTTGCTCTCTCAACAGCTGAGGTTGAGTATATAGCTGTTGGGAGCTATTATACTCAACTCATTTGACTGAAAACCCAACTTAAAGACTACAATCTCCCTGCTACTTACATTCCTTTATTCTGCGATAACACAAGTATCATCTGCATGTCCAGAAACCCTGTTCAACACTCTAGGACCAAGCACATATAGGTACAGTTTCACTTTATTAGGGATTTAGTGCAACAGAATCCGATCCAATTAAGTCATATTCCCTCTAAATTTCAATTAGCCGATCTCTTTACTAAACCATTAAATTCTGAACGCTTCACTTTCCTCTGTTATGAAATTGGGTTACAACCTCTAGACAATCTGGAGAATCTACTCTGATTTCTCGCTATTGTGGTTACCTTTCTGTGTGTATTGTATGTTTAATTTTCTTTTTCTTTTTTGTGTTTACCTTGTTTAATATCCTTTCCTTCTTTGATATGTTCTTGTGTTTATTTAAAGAATCTTGCTTCCTGAGGTTTTTGTATACGAGTCTTTGTTGTCTCCTAGCTGTCTGCCCTCCTCTTTGCGATAGTGCTCAATTTCTCTATAACGTTTCAGGTACTCTCTTACATGACCAGATCCCTTCTAATGCCCATCGTCACTCTATCTCCTATGCCCGTCGACCCATCATCCCCACCTATCAAGTACCATTCCTTGAGTTCGATCTTGATGTAACCCAGTTTATTCATAATCTAGGATGAGATTTTCTTATTGCTAAAACACCAAAACACATGTCCTGAACGAGTCCGTCTTTTTTACTCAAAAAATTCGTTCTTTTGGCCTGAACACTTGCACCTTTACATCTTTCATTTTTGGCCATCTCGCATCCCTGTTGAATACCTTAGGTGTCTGCTTGCTATCACTCAAGTTGGTGCAACCCTAGCCCATGACTCTAAACTCGGCCTCTAAGACTTCAACATTGAGCATGAGTTCGTCCATCTCACTGGTCAAGTTCCAGATGCCTTGCTCACCCTCCTTGTTGTTTTCCTTCATCCTTCCTTGCACACTTTTCACTTTCTTCTCACTCCTTGCTTTATTCATAGGACCGTTCTCCTAGATCGAGTCACTCCTATGGACCTTTGGGTCATTACTCACGCCGTGGAAAATTTCCCTTTGGATTACTCCCACCTCCTCTTTGGAAGTTTCTGTATGTTCCAGTACTTTGAGTTTCAAGGGCATCTTCCCTTTGGTCCTCTTATCACCCGTCTTATATCTCGCCTTGAAATCTCCCTTGACCTCTATCGCATCACCACTCCAACCATCTATCTTACTGCTGACAACATGCTGGACGAGATTGCGTTTGTCATTAGGGGGAGGATGACTCTGACGACAACGAGGAGGAAGATGACTCTAAAGACGACCCAGAAGAAGATTATGATGAGGAAGAACCAAAAAATGACTCTCAAGCTGAGGAACCAAATCCTGACATCGAGATTCACTGGATTAGTAGCAGTGACAGTGATGGCGATTCTGATGATCCTGCTTCCCCTCCAAACTCTCCTTCATTGGAGGCCATCTTTGCCGATCTTCGAGATGTCTACGAATCTGATTGATTGGCTGATGGTATTTTTCAAAATTGTGAATATTTTGCTTGGGATGTTTGAGTTTTGCTTCAGATGATTGAGTTTCTTTTGTTGTTCTTGTTTGAGATTGGAATTTTGGTTGGTTTGCTGGACGTGTTTTACCAGCTTTGTGTGCGTTTGTTGAATACTCTAAAACTCTTTAGTCAATGAATGATTAGCTTGTTTCTAGTTAGCCATTTTGTTTGCTTGGGAAATGAGATTGTTTTTTGCAGGTTCAATCGTTCAATCTTCAACCTCTACTTGGGGGGGGGGGGGGGGGGGGGGGGGGGGGGTTGGGGGTTGGTTGGATTGATGACATTAGTCATGATCAAGTTAGAAGATTGAATCGACAATGGACGAAGTGGAGCTTAAATAAAGGGGGAAAATAGAGTGATCAAAGGGTATCAAGTCTGTCAGAACAGAAGCGTGCAAACGATAATCCAGATCAAAACGAACGAACACAAATTTAACGTGGTTCACTAACACAATGTGTGCTAGCTAATCCACGGGCAAGGGAGAACAAATTTCACTGATTTGAGGAGAGTACAGGTTACAAACCAAATTCCGGACGGACAAACCAAACAAACTAACCCGACTGACCTTACTACATACTAGGGTGATGAAGAGTATTTATAGAACTCTTCTCTTAATCCCAAACAGAAAACCAAACACCTTTTCCCAAACATACAAGGAAAAGGTCAAACAAAGCCCAAATTCAAACCCAAACAAAATAGGCTCAAAACACAAAACAAACCCAAATCAAATTCAAGTCATATTCTAACAAACTCTCCTCAGCAAAGCTTTCCTTTTCTGGGAGCAATCAAATTCCAACGACTACTTTGATGAAGGCTATATAAACCGTAGAGTAGATGAAGTGTATACTGAGTGGGGAAAAGAAATAATTGTGGTAAAGGGCAAAGGGTTGGGATTGATTAGTGGCTTCCATCTATACTTGATAGTGTCTCTCGTGATAGTGGTACTATTCCGGAACGAGGAGTAACCCTGTGATGAACATCGTTAATAATCTCGATGTGTCTTTTTCATTTCTGCTCTGCTTCTTCCTATTGCTTCTTGATCCTCTGTTTCCAATTTCAGTCTGCATCGGGAAGAAGAAGAAGAAGAAGAAGAAGAAGAAGAAGAAGGTCTTATGTCTTCCCTCAACTCAAACTGCTGGACCTATTGAACTTAAACCAAAACATTACTTTTCAGTTGTCTGTGAGCTTTCGTCTTAACCAAGTCCAGATCGATCTAGTCAGATTAAAGAGTCACGAATTTATGTTGAGTTTTCATTTTAATTTGGCTTTTGATTTCCTCGTTTTTTCTTTGTCTTCGTTCCATTCCAATCCCTATAAACAGATTCTTTAGCCATTCACAGTATGTTGGGTTGGTAATCAAGCTGTTTAATTTTATATGTTAATTACATCATTTTTGTTCAATAAGCACTGACAGTTTTGGGAAAGATCCAGCTTAGTAACTAATTTTTAAAAGAGGGTATGAATAATTTTCACATAAACATTCCTAATTGGTGGCTAACATCATGAGTGATATGCGCATAAATTCAATTGAACAAATGAGACTATAATAAATATTGGAATAAACGAAGAAAAGCAACTAGTTGGTTGGTGGATCCAAGACCGAGTTAGAAGAGGGAACATTAAAGTTTAAAAAGAGGCCTCATGCACGCTTCTCTAGTTTACAGACATTAATATATTCAAGACTCTTAATCAATGAAATTTGCCACACACTTTGCAGACCAGGTTTTACTTACTAAAATCAGAGCTGTAAAGGGGGAAAAAGAACATATGTACGTGGAAGCTTTCTCCCCCCCTTTTGGTGTCTCTTTGTATGACAATAGGCGGTAGAACAAGTGTTTTGTTTTTCTCAGATCTGGGCTAAAGAATTTGGGATCATAGTAGGGGGGAAATTGTGGAAAGGGATAAACAAAACAAAAACAAAAAAGAATTGGTGGTTGAGGATCTAAAAGTGCAAATTTTTGGTTTAGAATATGCGCAATTGTAAAATAATTATTCGCCAAATCTAATTTCTCATTATAGTTCAGTCAAACCCTCTTCCCCTCATTCATCTTTGCCCATCGACCATAGCTCTCTAATCTCACTCAGCTATGTTCCTCGCTATTCCTAAACTTTACCACAGTATTCCCGAGCACTTCTACTATGCTATATAGTATTGATGCTTTAATGTACAACTTAAAGTTGTACCATAACATAAAATGTATAAGTTTAGGTTGTACCATAAAGCAATTTGTACCATTATGTTATGATACAACTTTACAACTTGAAGTTGTACCATCACATAAAAGTACAAGTTCAAGTTGTACTATAAAAGAATTTGTACAAAAAGTATAGGTACAATATGAAGTTGTACCATAACATAAATGTATAATTTTAAGTTGTACCATAAAGGCAAAAACCTATAGCACCAATACTATATAGCATTGTAAAATTTCTCCAGTATTCCCTAAATTCATTGATATATATATCATTGACTAATATATGGGCTAATTATAATAAATGATCACAAAATTAGTCACTTTGTACAAAACGGTCACAAACCTTTAATTTTGCACAATTCAGTAACATATGTTTAGACTAATAAGAAAAATGTAATTTCGTCCATCTCCATCCAAAAAATCGTTAATTTCGTCCAGTTAGCACGCCACATCATTTAAGATATTAATAAAAATAGTAATGATCAAACCCAATTGAATTTATAACTGTTGATGCCGAGGTTGTAACCGATGTCGACTTCCTCGATCTTGGGTCCCGAAGCGATTTAAAGTCCCCCTTTACGGTAACCTTCTTTCGTGACGTTGCCTACGATCGCTTCCTGCAAAAAGAGCCCGCCGGCCGATCTCGGCGGGGGCACCCTCTGACGCTCAAGTTAGTCCCTAGTGTGGGGGATTGAGTAGTTTACAAAGTGTTTGTAGGAGGTGAACTCAGGGGGTGAGAGTCACTGATTGCAGTGGGTGCTCTCCAGGTACTTCCCCCGGTCTCCTTCCTTACCTTTTACTGGAGAGAACGAGCTAGTTATATAGTAACTACCAGGGGGACAACGGGAGGACAGGTGTCGGCGCCAGGGATGAAGGAAAGACATGTCACTAGACATGTGTCGTATAGGTCCATCTGCACCCGCCATGTGGTTGTACACATGTCAACCATGTTTCTGCCTAAGGGGAACACTCTTGCCATATGCCAACTAATTGAGTAAAGGGCATGACACATGTGCAGGTAGAAGTACATGCAATGGATCCAGGTGAGGAGAATAGATGTGGATCCGGGTACTGAGAGCAGGTGGCGACAGCGGACCCGGGCGCCGGGAGGAGGGGGTGACAGCGGGATCAGTATCGGGCGAGGGCGCCGAGCACCGGACGAAAGGCGAAGGCCCGACGCCGGAAGCCTGGGTCCGGGAACGATGACGGGCCCGGGAGCCGGGAACCGGACGAGAGGTGAAGGCCCGCCGCCGGGAGCCGGGGCAGTGGTGGGCCCGGGTTCCGAGAGCCGGGGTCCGGGAACGATGACGGGCCCGGGCGCTGGGAACCGGACGAGAGGTGCTGGGAGCCGGGGCAGTGGTAGGCGCGGGTGCCGGGAGCCGGGGTCCGGGAACGATAACGGGCCTGGGCGCCGAGAACCGGACGAGAGGTGAAGGCCCACCGCTGGGATCCATGACAATGGTGGGCGCGGGTGCCGGGAGCCAGGGTCCTGGAACGATAGCAAGCCCAGGCGCCGGGAACCGGATGAGAGGTGAAGGCCCGCCGCCGGGAGCCGGGGCAATGGTGGGCCTGGGTGCCGGGAGCCGGGGTCCGGGAATGATAACGGGCCCGGGCGACTGGAACCGGATGAGAGGTGAATGGGCCTGGCCCAACACTTCACCGGAGAGAGTCGTGGGCTGAGCACGATTGTCGGCCTAGGCGCAATAATGCACTATTTGAGCAGATGGTGAGCTGGTTCTATAAAAGTATTTTTACATTGGGTATATCAATTGCCCCCCTTGCCGGCGAGAATCTGAAGATTCTCGGGGGCAAGCATGGTCTGCCCCGTGATTAATTCCCAAATTTAATCTTGGGAGTCTATTAGAAGACTATATATCTTTTATATATTTTTTATTTGTTGAATGTTGACGCAGATTGTTTGGGAAGTGCACAAGTCTTGAATTTTCCCTCATTGTAACTTGGGCCTTCATTATTCTTGATTCCCATGAGCAGAATAGAAGACTGTGCATTGTTCTTGAATTTTGGTCAAAGACCGTTTGGAAAATGCACAAACCTTGGACTTTTTAGAAGAGAAAGTGTTCTCTTCCATGCTTTCCTCCTCTTTATCCTCTTATAAATAGCATCTTTCTTTCTTCTTTATTCTTCACTTCATTCTTCTCCCAAGTGCTCTCTTTCATTGAGAGAGAACTTGTTAGTTAGCGGGCGGTGGCAAGGCAAGGGTTAGCTCAGAAGCTGTTGGAGACTTGATCGTGGCGGGTATGACATCTTTCTTCCTCCCCCCAGCGCAATGTTGTATGCTTGCATGTGGGGGGTAGGAGTACTTAATTTTTTTCTTCTTCTTTTTGTTTCTTCTCCGTCTCAGTTATGGCATATCGGCGGGTGATGTCGAGTCAGGATTCCTCAAGAGGAGGATTTGTCCCGTCGGAGGAGGATGAGGTTACTTCGAGGGGGGAGATGGCGATCCCGATACAAGTCGTCCCTGCGTTTGAAGGAGGGTGGTTTGCTTCTGCACCGTTTACGAACCAGGGTGATGGATGGATACCTTGGTCGACCGAGCCTGTCAGAACGGGAGCTAGGGCGAGATACCGTGTGCGCTCCTTGTTCGAGACTTTCTCGGAGGATGACGTGGCAGGAGACTTGTATCGGGAGGCTGGGCAGACTGAGGACTTAACAAAGAGGATGGTGGAGCTGCAGGATATTCTGGCCTTGTATGGTATGCCAGATCAGTGGGAGTATGCTCTCCCCGGCAATGATGCCAGCATTAACTCTTGTGGGTCCGGGTGGCATTGCATTTTCTATGAGTCCCTCCCCTATGGGTTTCATGCCCC